TGGTGAGTTCATCTTACAAAAAATCAAATTTGTCCAAAAAGAAAATCTAATTTTTGATAAGATTTGAGTGTTTCGAAATACAGATTTCCTCAAGAAAAAGGAAATCATTTTTTTCTAGTTTTTTTGTTTTAGTTCATTAAATAGCAGTAACGGCAATAACGAACATGGTTAAATCCTTTATCGTTATCGTTATGGGATGATCTCTCTTAAATGTTAACAGCTGATATTATTATCGTTATAAATCGAATGATTTTTAAATTTAAATGTGTTACAATAATAAAAGCAAGCAGTGTTATTGTTCTAAAGAGCATGATGTTTGAAGACTTATCGTTATCAAAAAAATCAGACATACGCACCTCCTATTTGAAAAAATAAAGGTATGTAATTATCTGCATATGCGAAAGGAGCAAATGCCAAAACTCCTGATACAAGATTCACCAATGGTTTTTTTTTGGCAAGGAGGAGTAAATAATGTAAACACTACATGTACTGTATTTTAAAAAATAACCTTTTCTTCCCCCTCTTGATTATGATTAACTGTGATCGCTTATTCAGGGGTAGATAATTATTATTTTTTTGTATCGGGGAGAATTTACTTTCCTTCTGTCTTCGTTTCCTTTATTCAGCACTTATCGTTTCTGAAATAGAACAAAATCAGGTATAAAGGTATCTAACCAGGGATTGGCTATGCCGCGCCCTACTCATTTTTATTCCTTTTGTTATTTGCATATTTAACCATGTATGAAACGACAAATTTAGTGAGTTGTATAGATATTTCATTTTGTCGTAGATTTAATCTCGGTCATGAAATGTTGAACTAAATCGAATATTCATAAATTTTTTATATCAATAAACCTCGTCAGAATTTGAGGCCAAAATCCTTCCACTTTTTTTTGTGCCAGGATTTGATTTGTTTGCTATGTCGGTTCCACCCATTAGTATTAGGAATCGTATCAAAAAAAAAAATACAATATTATCGTTATTTAGATAATTTTGCATATTTACATATGAAAAAGCGAGAGTACAGATATCAGAATTTTTTGTTTTGCCTTCGTCACTTTATTGAGAACCATTGCTTATGAATGAGTGTGTTTGATAAGTACGTATATTTACAAACAAATACGTAGTCATTTTAACTACATTGCACGCGTACTCGAAAGCGAGAACCATAATAATTAAAAAATTAAGTCATGTGCATTTATTTTAATTACAAATTACATACTGTACGCAATTAACAGGTAAATCAATAGACAAACATCATTTTCATTGGAGTATCAATTAGCGTTGATAAATAGATGTGTTATTCATTGTGGTTGCTGTTGTACACTTTGAACGGCTTCAGCAGTTTTGGGACTTGGTGGATTAAATTGTTCGGCTCGACTTTGGGTTTCATCCTTATTAACAAATAAAGCAAATTAGAGAAAATAGCAAATAAAAATCAAGAGAAACACATTATTTACCTTTAATTCACTTTGTTTAGTTCGACCTTGTGAAGTTTCTTGACCGACACTAACACCAACATTTTGCTGCTGCGCTGGTGAAGCAGGTGGTGTTACTTGTTGCTGTTCAACAAGCACTTGACGAGCCTCCTTTGAGAGACCGGGAACGCCAGCTTCCACCAATTGAGAACCGGGCGCTACAAAATCACCTGGTAATCGTTGAGACTGTTCTGATTGAGACACGTGTGGCTCTTCTGGTTGTTGTTCAGCAGCAACGTCAGGTTCAACTCGATCCATCTTTAATACTTGTTCCAATCGATCAGCCGATTCGTCAACTTTTACAGCTGGACCATTGGGAAGTATTCTACCCAATGTTTGAATTTCAAATTCACGTCGACGTTGAGCTTCCTCCTGCATTGCAAAGTAATAAAAAATTTAATAAAATACATATTGTGAAACTAAACTAAAAAAAATCATATACCCTCAATTCTTGAATGAGTTTTTCCAAGTCAATTTCGTGTCCAACAGGAGTTACCAATCCTTGGACGCTTAAAGTTGGAATATGAGTTTCTTCACTGATAGCAGTCGCGTATTTGCCGAATGCGCTTTCTAATATTAGATGACAAATATATACACACACACATATATATATATATATATATATATATATATTAGTATAACCTCATTTAACAATTATACTAACAAAAAATAACTTACGAGCCACAGCAGCCTTACTTCCACGTGGAATTAGACCGAGACCACGAGCGTGTTCAGTTGTAACTTCTTTTAATTGAGCGAGATGTTCAAATTCTTGAGTTTCAGGAATGCCTTCATGTGCCACATGAGGATTACCAATTTCCACTTGAGGAATATTTTGTTGATCTTGAAAACCACCACGTTGCACATTTTGAACACGCATAAAATTTGTATTAGCTGGGATTCGAGTTCCAGGATATTTATATTGTTGACGGTTTCGCATACCCCGACCACCCCGATTTTTAAATTTATTACCTCTTCCTCTTTTCACTTCGATCCCCGTGTCGGCAATCTCTTGCATCGGTTGAGGGGATGTCGGTGGAGATGTTGCCTCAAGTTGACCTCCTTCGATTTTCAATACTTTTTCAAGTTGTTCAGCAGCTTCTTCAACTTTAGCTGCTGGTCCAGCACGAGGAACGTATCCTTGGGTTTGAAGTTCGAATTGACGACGTTGTTCGGCTTCTTCCTGTTCATTTAACATATAAAACAAATTCGAAATTAATTTTCTATATGCAGTGAATTTTAAACGAATTTACGATCGTATATAATAAATTAACCTTTAATTCACGAACAAGTTGTGCCTCATCAACTGGATGTTCAGCGGCTTTAACTCTCGCTTGAACAATGAGAGATGGAGCACGAATTTCTTCCCCAATTGCGGTCGAGTATTTACCCAAGGCACTTTCTGGAAATATGAAGTCGTCAAAGCAATCATTGACAAATATATTTTATTTCATAGAACTAACGAGTGACAATAACTCACGAGTTAAAGAAGCTGTGGTTCCGCGTGCAATTCCAGTATTTGTACCAATGGTTTGAAGTCTAGCTTTTTCAGCGGCCAAACGCTTTAATTCGGCGACATGTTCGAATTCTTGTTCCTCTGGAATGCCTTCGTGTACATCAAAAGGATTCGGAGGAATGTTTCTTGGCGAAGTGGGATTTGTCACTGAAGACTGAATCGTGGGAGTTGAAGTGCTCATTCTTTCGCGACTTCAGAATTAAAATTTTGTGTTTGTATGGAGAAACAGTATGTTATTAATAGATAAATTGAATTTGGGCCTTTTGATTTAATTATGGTGAGAAATTTATATAAATACGCACTCTTTACATATATATATATATATATTTACTTTTACATCATCAAAATGAGTTTATCAATATGTCATCATGATGACAAGCAATGATTTAATCAAACTATTGAGATTATTTGCTGGATGGTCTAATACATGTATTAATAACGATAACGCGATAATTATTTCTGTACGAAAAAATCCATACTTGTATGTGTCAAATGTAATATTCATGGTTAAACCTGATTTATCATAGCGATAGTAACACACATCGATATTTGAAAACAATGATTCAAATGTCACAATACACGTAATCGGTAATATATGTAGTCTTAACCAAAAATTTTTAAGTGGATACGCTGATCTATACTATAAATAGTAAAAAAGATAAAATAACATTAATATAATAATTGTGGCGGATTAATCAAAACTATATCAGGTGCCATAGTAAAAAAATTATTCGAAAAAATTGTTCATTTCGTCTATTAACCTTTTTTTTCTAGCAAATTTTGAAGAAAACAATTAATGTACTGTAACAAAAGGGAATTACGGTGTAAAATATTTAGATGTTTTTAAATGTTATGTTAGGAAGAGCTTTGCTTTTGTTAGCGATACATACTTCTAAGCTAAAAAGTAAATCGGCTGTTGTTAGAAAAAAATTTAAAACCGTCACTCCAATGAAAAAGTTTTTATCTTATTCATAATAAAATTTATCGTCAATTTTTATGCTAGCTTTAACTCTGAACCTTTTTGAAAATCGAATATGCCTAATCCTCAACAAGTGGGACTTAAAAACCCATCCAAACATGACCGATTCTACTCAACAGTCTAAAATACGCCTTTCGGTAACAAAAATTCAAGTAACTGGTGAACAATTTAAAAATATTCGAAAAAAAAGGAGATTAACATACCAACAAGATTTTATTTCGCGAGTTTCTCAATCAGATATGCAGCAAGAACAAGCCGTAGATAATCTTTTTTAAGGAAATTTTTTTATATCGTTAAATTTTAATATCAAGATAGACGTAATAGTTGTGTACATTTTGACGTTGACGTTGAATACATTACCATATACATGTATCAATATTAATATAATAAATTGAAATCATTTTTACTATGGTACCCTGACATAATTATATCTTTGATTTTAACAATCGAATATTCTAACAGTGGTCGACATAAATATTCGGAATGTCGATCTAGTGCACAAAACGTCGCGTAACGTTACCAATTTTAAACTAATACGTGTATAAAATTGGGATTGCTTTGTTTAATAATAAACACAACAACGTAAACATTTTTGCCATCAGTTTTTGCACCCGTTAACAAAAAAATAAAAAAAATGCCATCCATTTCCAAGCATGAAGCACAAGAATGGTGGTAAGTCAGCTTTGGACAAATAATATCTGGAAACCTGCAGAAATTGTGCAAATAACAGGTTTTCCTAAGTCTACGGTGTATGATATAATCAATCGGATTAAAAATCATGACACTTCCCAGATCTGGAAGATTTCTAATTCTCACAGTTGAATAATGTCACATTCTTGGCTGATTGGTGCAGATCAATAATGCCACCACGGCAGCTGAAATGACTGAAAGACTTAAACAAAAAGATCCTAACTTAAAAGTTTTCATTTGTACAATTCAATATATCTTAAAAAAAATCTTCAATTTGATATTTGTCATCTACTGCGAGTTTCTCTTTTACAATCTTATCATATTGCAGCTCATCTTGAATGAGTATAGAAATATGTCCATCAAAATTGGTCTCACATGATTTTTTCTGATGAAACAACTCTTCAAATGTTCAGAAATACTCAGCTAATAAGATATCATCATGAAACATCATGACCATATAAAAGTATAATAAAGCATTCTTATAAGATTTATGCTTGAAATGCTTTTAGTGTGCAAGAATTAATTATACTTGTCTTATTTACTGAAAACTTTAATGTTAAAAAGTATTAAGAAATTCTTGAAATGTATCTTTTTCTCCATATTTCTGTAGCAAATTATAGATTATATTTTTAATAGGACAAGTTTTTAATTTATAATACAGACAAAATAATTAATCTTTTTTATCACTATGATGTTTAAATTCTTGATTGGACTTTTTACTTACTAGATATCAATCTTATTAAGAATTTGTGAACTATACTTAAGAGAAAGATAAAAAAGAAGATAAATTTATGATTAATCAAAAAAAAACTTTTAATAATAGAATTTCAAATAATAATACAAATAGAATGAATAGATTTAAGTAAAGATCTCTTTCTTCAATTAGCAAGAAGCATAAAAGATTGTATTTTGATAATAATTAAATATGTAATTTTTCTAGTTATATTATATAATATATCAGAAAAATTTATACAGAAGATTCAAGATATATGACAATATAATTTAAAATAGAATTCACATAGAAAACTAATTCAAGATAGACAAGATTATTATGTTTTTAAACTTATTCTTTATTTATTATTATATGATTATTATTAAAAATATAGAACAGAAATAATATTTTTAAATAATAATTTAATGTTATATAAAATTAATAATATAATAAATAGAAATTAATAATAGATAATACTTATATAATAGTATTTCTAAAAGATACTTATTAATAAATAAATAAAAAAATAAATAATTATAAATAAAATATATAATATACTAGCTAAATTAATACTTTAAATATGCTTGATATATTTAAGTTATTTGTATTTTATACTATAATAGCATAGAAAGAAGAAAGTATTAAAGAAAAAATTTTGTTTTTGATTTTTTCATTATATTTTTTGCATATTTTTGATTTTTTAAGTTTTTATAAAGAAATAAAAAGAAAAAAAATATATAAAATTAGTATTAGAAAAAAGAAAAAGAGAAGAAGAAAATATTTAATTATATTATATTAATATAAAAATATGTAATATAAGAAGTTATTATATAAAATAAATTTTTCTTACTTCTAAAATTTTGTAAATAAAATAATTAACAGGATGATTATTATTATTATTATTATTATTATTATTATTATTTTTAATGTATTATAGTATAATTCTATTCAAGATATAAGAAACTATACTAAATTATAAAATCATAGCTGTTTTATAAATAATTTTTTATTATATAAAATGAACTATTAGAATAGTCTTTTTGAGAAAATATCAATATAATTAGTTATTAATAGGCTAATCTAAAATTAAACTGATAATATAAAGTTAATAAGAGTATTATGAGAAGTTATTAATTATAACTTTTACTTAATAAAGTTAGTATATACTAAATTTATATATTCTGTTATGAAATAAATATTATTGATATATTAAAAAGATGAAAATTAATATATATAAAGATTTGAATTTGTATATTTTTTGATAATTATATTATAAGAAATGGAGAATGTGTAATCTAAAAATTTACTCTTGAAGCTAGTACTAGTGATAAATAAGTATTTTATCCTAATTATTATATATTATTAATATTTAAAAGTTATTTATGCTTGATAGTGGAGAAGTTATATAACTTTTCAGAATTATGAAATGAATTAATAGATAAAAAGAGCCAAGATTTGAAGGATTTTGATTTGAGATAAGAAAGTATAAAGAAAAGAGATAAATATATATAATATTAAATTACTAAGAAAATGAATAATTGATATAAGTAAGAGATATGACAGGATATCTGTAGATAAACTGAATAGTTATAAGTTAATAAGCTATTAATAGATAAATATAAGAGTAAAAAAGTTAATATATAATATTAAGAATAAGTAAGAATAGATAAGAAAAATCAGTTTGTGTGATATAGATAATAAAAGAATTTGCAAAGGATTTGCTAAGTAAAAGCATTTCCAAATATAACTGATAGTTTTAGACTGAATATAATAATTTTGATTAGGTTATCTTTCTTTAGATCTCTTTTAGTTTAGATCTTTATTTTGCATTATCTGTATAATAAATTAGCTTTGTATTATATTTCTAAAAAGATCAATTTCATTCTGGATATACAGATGATTATTATGTATTTAATACATCTAGATTTAGCATATTATTATTTAGATAATTATTATATGTATCATAATTATTAATTTAGATTATTAATATTTTTAATTAATTATTTTCTTTATAATTTTATTTATTTTTTCTTTATTATTATTTATATTTAATTTATTATATTTA